AGTTTGCATAGGAAGATCATACGCTCGTACCTTTGCAGCAGTAGGTCTCACCGCCTGTCTGCATATTCTCGGCATTATTTAACACTACTTATAGATATTCTAAAACGGTCTCCTTAAATAAAATGGATGTCCTACCTTTGTAAATTGGGAGAGGGATGAAGCTCACGGTGTTGTCAGGTAGAGAAAACCTTTCAAAGACACGCCCCCCGAAAAGTTACCAAACCGCTTCTGTCACAGCATTTTGAATAGGCATGACACCAAAGGTCAATGAGAACATTTTTTCTGAGTGTGATATGTCACCAAACTAACACGTCACCAGGCAATGTGTCAGCTCATTGCTCTAGTTTTCCCATTTAAGGCAGTGCATAGCCTATTTAAGATGTATCAACAAATCCCTTCCTGGAACTTCCGAACATTAACTTTTTCTGAATAGAAGTGTATTGGTGTGTAAAACCCCAGGTGTCAAACCTGTGTGACATGTGTGCCCGCAGGTGAGGGGACGACGTATACGTAGTCGGCCCGCTTTACCCGCAACACTGCAGATCAAAATTCACTGAAGCAAATGATATGATAAATGTTAAGCAAAAGCATCACAAGCAGGGAGCTGTCCCCGTCCCTCAGGTATTGGGGCTAGGTACGTTACTGGGGTATTTACGTTGGTTGATGGTTACGCCTTGGTACTAAGAATACTACGTAGTCTGGCATTTTTGAACTACAAGCAATATTTGAAGGATAGGCTGCCTATTCACAATATAACTGTGCATATAGGACAAAACTCTTACATTCACAGTACACAAATAAAAGAAGAATTAAATTTGAGAGGAATGAGATGGCATCCAGTGATTGGTGCCCAAACTAACATGTTCAGATACAAGTGGTCTTATCATATACACATGGTCGGTCTGATGATCACTTGAGTGTTTAATGATCTTTGTGTATTTTGAGTTTAAGGTTCATTGTATTTGGCGTCAACAAACTTTCTACAGACCGTCAAAAGAACGTTGTCATGCGGTTTTACCATTGGCTAGATTTTCGTCGCGCCATTTTCCAAAGGCTGCGTGTGTGATGCTGGGACCTGTGTAACGTACATTTGCAACATATCGTCTAATTTTAGTCTAACCCTGATAGAATACAGCAGGGAGTAGCTATATCTGCCCCGACCTTCATGCATGGTTATGCTGATGAACACAGAGCATACCCTGATGGTAGGAACGCTATATAGATTAGCATGATTTTTTCAAGTACACGCATTATTTGAGGTAAAGCCTTTCTATACACGCTGCAGACAGACCAACTACTTGGTGCACAGGACACAGATGGACACCTGCAAGCTAAAGCAAATGATATGATAAATGTTCAACAAAACCATCACAAGCAGGGAGCTGTCCCCGTCCCTCAGGTATTGGGACTAGGTACGTTACTGGGGTATGTACGTTTGTTAATGCTTACGCCTGGGTCCTAAGAATACAACGTAGTCTGGCATTTTTCAACTACAAGCAATATTTGAAGGATAGGCTGCCTATTCACAACATAACTGTGCATATAGGACAATCTCTTACATTCGCAGCACACAAATAAAAGATGAACTAAATTTGAGAGGAATAAGAAGGCATCCAGTGATTGGTGCCCAAAGTATCATGTTTAGATACAAGTGGTCTTGTCATATACACATGGTCGGTTTGATGATCACTTGAGTGTTTAATGATCTTTGTGTTTTCTACGGAAAATCCAGGTTTGGTTGACAAATACAGGGAATGACCCTTGCACTATGCCCTCTACATTTGTGTTGCTATTTTTATTCTTATTCTTGTTTTGAGTTAAAGGTTTATTGTATTTGGCGTCAACAAACTTTCTAAGGGCCGTCAAAAGAACGTTGTCATGAGGTTTTACCTTTGGCTAGATTTTCTACGCGCCATTTTCTAAAGGCTGCGTGTGTGATGCTGGGACCTGTGTAACGTACATTTGAAACATACCCTCTAATCTTGTACTAACCCTGATAGAATACAGCAGGGAGTAGCTATATCTGCCCCGACCTTCATGCATGGTTATGATGAACACAGAGCATACCCTGGTGGTAGGAACGCTATAGATAATAGCATGATTTTTTTTAAAGTACACGCATTATTTGAAGGGTAGCCTTTCTATACACGCGTGCAGACAGTACAGACCAAACTACTTGGTACACAGGACACAGATGGACACCTGCAAGCTAAAGCAAATGATATGATAAATGTTCAACAAAACCATCACAAGCAGGGAGCTGTCCCGACCTCAGGTATTGGGACTTGGCTTAACTACTCCGTAGCGGTATCTTAGTTAAGCGGGCGAAGGGCTCCTAGCTGCCTAAGGAAAACGGCTAACGGCCCGATACTAGTCTGGCTCCCAGGATAGGTACTAGTATTCCCGTTGTTTGATGTATGCTGCTGTACCCAGCAGAGTACGCCCGGGCCCGGATGATAAGGACATTACGGAGTTTGTCCTTGTTTAGCTACAAGCAGTGTTTGAAGGATAGTCTAGCTATTCATAACAAAAATGTGCATACAGGCCAATCTCTATAGTACACATTTCGCAGATATCAGAGGGACACAAAAACTAAACTAGAATTAGAAAGAGATTACTGATTTTGTGCCCAAAGTAATGGGTTTGTATACAAGTGGCCCTGTCATGTACACTTGGTCAGTCTGGTAATCAGTTCAGAGAAAATCCAGGGCGTTGTCGAGAAAATTGCTCAGAAGAAAATTCCACTGTCTCAATGTCTGGATCTTCTTATGTTGTATGTCTGTTGTGATTTGGAGCGTAAGAAAGTGTTTTGTAACATGGTTCGCAGTCTTCGAATATGTCTCAATTCAAAGGGACGTTTTGTGGCAGTGACCAGGGACTTGAGAAGCTAGGCGCCCTGACATAACAAGACATTTACAGTTTGCCTAGTAAGTTCATACGCTCGTACCTTTGCAGCAATAGGTCTCACCGCCCGTCTGCATATTCTCGGCATTATTTAACACTACTTATAGGTATTCTAAAACAGTCTCCTTAAACAAAATAGATGCCCTACCTTTGTAAAATGGGAGAGGGATCAAGCTCACGGTGTTGTCAGGTAGAGAAAGCCTTTTAAAGATACGCCCCCCGAAAAGTTACCAAACCGCTTCTGTCACAGCATTTTGAACAGGCATGACACCAAAGGTCAATGAGACATTTTTTCTGAGTGTGACATGTTACCAAACTACTACCTCACCAGACACTGTGTCAGACCATTGCTCTAGGTTGTTCTCTTTAAGGCAGTGCTTAGCCCATTTAAGATCTATCAACAGATACCTTCCTGAAATTTCCGAAAGATTAACTCTTTTCTGAATAGAAGTACAATGTTGTGTAAAACCCCAGGTGTCAAACCTGTGTGAGGTGTGTGCCCGCAGGTGAGGGGACGACGTAGTCGGCCCGCTTTACCCGCAACACTGCAGATCAAACTTCACTGAAGCAAATGATATGATGAATGTAAAACAAAAGCATAACAAGCAGGGAGCTGTCCCGACCTTGGGTATTGGGACTTGGTTCAACTCCTCCGTAGCGGTAACTTAGTTAAGCGGGCAAGGGGCTCCTACCTGCCGAAGGAAAATGGCTAACGGCCCGATACTAGTCTTGCTCCGAGGGTAGGTACTAGTATTCACGTTGGTTGATGGTTACTGCTGTACCCAGCAGGGTACGCCCGGATGGTAAGGACACTACGGAGTCTGGCATTTTTTTAGCTACAAGTGAGTGTTTTAAGGATAGTCTAGCTATTCATAACAAAAATGTGCATACAGGCCAATCTCTGTAGTACACAGTTCGCAAATATCAGAGGGACACAAAACCTTAACTAGAATTAGATAGAGATTACTGTAATAGATAGATTTTGTGCCCAAAGTAATGGGTTTGTATACAAGTGGTCCTGTCATGTACACATAGTCAGTCTGGTAATCAGTTCAGAAAAAATCCGGGGCGTTGTCACGATAATTGCTCAGAAAAACATTCCATGATCCATTGTCTGGGTCTTATGTAGTATATCTGCTATGATTTGGAGCGTAAGAAAGTGTTTTGTAACATGGTTCGCAGTCTTGGAATATGTCTCAATTCAAAAGGACGTTTTGTGGCAGTGACCAGGAACTTGAGAAGCTAGGCGCCCTGACAGAACAAGACATTTACAGTTAGTTTGCATAGTAAGTTCATACGCTCGTACCTTTGCAGCAACAGGTCTCACCGCCCGTCTGCATATTGTCCGCATTATTTAAAACTACTTATAGGTATTCTAAAACAGTCTCCTTAAACAAAATGGATGCCCTACCTTTGTCAAATGGGAGAGGGATCAAGCTCACGTTGTTGTAAGGTAGAAAAAAACTTTCAAAGATACGCCCCCCGAAAAGTTACCAAACCGCTTCTGTCACAGCATTTTGAATAGGCATGACACCAAAGGTCAATGAGACATTTTTTCTGAGTGTGATATGTCACCAAACTAACACGTCACCAGCCAATATGTCAGACCATTGCTCTAGTTTTCCCCTTCATGGCAGTGCATAGCCTATTTAAGATGTATCAACAAATCCCTTCCTGGAACTTCCGAACATTAACTTTTCTGTATAGAAGTGTATTGGTGTGTAAAACCCCAGGTGTCAAACCTGTGTGAACATGTGT